TAACATGGGACTGAGGAGTTTGAAGTCTTAACACTTAAAATATTAAAAATTCATAAACGACAGAACACCACGGGGCTGATGATTTTGAAGTATACACACTTAGTATATATAACATATATATTAACGACAGTCAACATGGGACTGAGGAGTTTGAAGTCTTAACACTTAAAATATTAAAAATTCATAAACGACAGAACACCATGGGGCTGATGATTTTGAAGTATACACACTTAGTATATATAACAGATATTAACGACAGTCTACAATGGAAGTAAGAAGTTGATTTTATACACTAATACTATATAACATGTATTCACGAAAGTCCACCACGGGGTGAGACGTTAAGGCTTTACACTACCTTACAACGAAATGTACCTCTTCTCCAAAAAAGTTATACAACTAAACATATCTAAAACATTTTTTATGACTACAGATTTGGACGTGGTTCTATAATGAAATGAAAAGTGAAAGGTACACAAGGGTTTATCGTTACCATAATGTAATTAAACTTAGATTAACTTAGATCATTCTGAACGCAGGCCTATACATTTGCCTCTATATTCAGATCACAGTCCTTAAAATAATAATTATATACATGTAATATAGTGTATGTGGCATCACTCGTGTTATTGTAAACATCCTGTCGCCAGTGTCCCAAAACTTACCAAGGCTATTTTTAAATGTTATAATATTCGGTGTTGGACCACGTTCTCGGGTAAGGAGTTTCAGCTGCTGACTACACGCTGAGTAAACGAGTATTTACGAACGTCTAATCTACTTCTTGATTTGTCCATGCAGACTGAATGCCCTCGAGTTCTTTTGTCTTGTTTAATTAATAGAAGCCCGTTGATCCTGATGTATCATACATGCCTGACAATGTTTTAAATACTTCGATCATGTCTCCCCTGTTCCTTCCATGGACTAATGATGGAAGTTTAAGTCCATGCATTCTTTCCTCGTATGAAATATCCTTCATCCCTGGCAGTAATTTGGTAGCTCTCCGCTGAACGTTTTCCAAAAGGTTGATATCCTGTTGTTTGTATGGTTTCCAAACGCATGCTCCATATTCCAAGTGTGGTCGTACTAAAACTTTGTATAACAGGCAGAATGGTTTGTTGTCCAAAAATGTGTAAGTTCTTCTGATGGCTCCAAGTACTCTATTCGTTTTGTTTACTGCGGCTTGTATATGGCTTTTGAAATTGAACTTATTGTCTATAATTATTCCTAGGTCTTTCTCTTCAACTTCCTCCTTCAGCTTTACCGTGCTCCTCATACCGTCCATATCCTTGTAAAGGTGTCGACCATTTGGATTTTCATCCTTTCTCAAATATAGTGCTTTACATTTATCTGGGTGAAACTTTAGTAGCCACGTGTCCGACCATTGTTGCAGATTGTCATGGTCCTTTTGTTAATCTCCCTGTTCTCTGGTATCCCTGTACAATTTGGTGTCATCTGCAAACAGCAGGGTCTTCGAATCATTTACTACATCGGGCAGGTCATTGATGTACAGTACAAACAGTGATGGTCCCAGCACGCTGCCCTGTGGTTTCCACTTGTGACATGTTTCCACTCGGATACATGTCCATTAACACTTACTTGTTGTCGCCTTTCTGCTAAAAAAAATCCTTTATCCACGTTAATATGAAAAGGCAAAGCCTTAAAAGAGCGAAGCTTTTGTTGATCTCTGATATTTACTGATTTAGAATAAGATAATACTGCTTTCAGAATAAGCCAAGATAAAAACAAGCCGAGGGATAACAATGAAACATAAACTCTAATGAGATTAAGACCGACATAACAATAGGGGAGATCGCGGCAAATTCGGCCCATTTTTTTTAAACTCCGTTCTGGGAAGTATGGCAGAACGTCCGTTTTTGAACATTATTATTTTTTTCTTGTCGGAAGATCGGATGGCCGAACGAGCCCCGCAATGTAATAAGGTCGGACATGCATTTGGGTTATTTCGGCTCCATTGGAATCAGCTTAATTATGACGTTATTAAAGCATGCGAAACTGTTCGGGCCCAAATTGATATTTCAATCAATTCTTATCGTACAGCACCTGTATATCATTTGAAGCTGTCAGTGTGTTACACGTTTGACAGTAAAAAATAGCAATTCCGTTTACAGAAAGTTCGCTATGATTTTCTTTCTACTCTCTCAAAAGTTCTTTTCTCCTGTTTAGTAATTTTACATTAGAGTTTTCCTCGCAATTTTTTCATGTGAAGATCTTTAAGTTGTAAATATTAGCTAAAAAACAAAAATATCAGGGGTGGCCGAACTTGCCCCGGTCTCCCGTATGTAGATTTTTTGTATCATTGATGATTGGTAAAAATATATTCACAATATAATTTTTGCATCAATGACACCATTTTCAAAGCTAAAGTAGATATTTGTTCTTGTGTGTAACGTATATGATGGTTTGGGTGCTGCAGTAGATAGCGCGCTCGTCTTCACCAAGATCGCCGGATGCAATCTCAGTTACCTGGCTGACCACGCGAGTTTTCTCCGGATACTCCGGCTTCCTCCAACATTATGAATTAAATCCTCTGCGTGCTTCCGTCATGTCACAAAAAGAATGATTGAAATAAGGCGGGAAAAAACTGTTTGGTAATTGCTATAGAAAAAAGTGCATATTACATATTTGACGATAAGACTATAAAAGTAAATGTATAGAGATGTTAGTTAAAAAAAAATGAAATTAAAAAAAGAAAAACATTGTAATGCTTTGATGTAACTGAGATTGTCGTTATATCGATATTAAGAATTCCTGTTCCATCCTGAAACACCGGATGAATTTCAAATTTTATAACTGTCACTGAGGTTTGACAGGTAATGATGCCAAGTAAAATTAAACAGTTTCTGTCTGTAACTAGTTATAAATCGGCACGCAATGTGAAAAAGTAATACGTTACTGAAAAAGGGCGTTTAACTCGGGTTCGTTGTCTGGATGAATTATCCATTGTTTCTTTTATGAGTGGTGATGCATACATAAATTATGTAAAGACTAAAACCAGGCCTCCAAAAATGTTAATTATTTCGTTCATACTCTCAACAAATGGAAATCAAAAGCTGATGAATTTTTAGACGATGAAAAATAAATGTACACGTTGACCTATTGGTTTAATGCGGCGCTTTTTGAAAATATCTCCCGGTAGAAATATTTGCAGAACCTGGTTGATGACAAAAAGGATCTCCAGAAAACATTCGCGTTTTTACTTTTCGTGCCTGTGGCAAAAACTGAAATAAAAAAGTCATGAACCAACGACAAAGAGATAAATGCAACGGCCATCAGTTCCAAGATTTTCCGGTAATTTTTAATCCTTCCGGAAATAACGACGTTTTATGCCTGCTAGTATAAAAAATTATATGATAGATTTTTTTCACTCAGAATGTATATTAGGTTTTATCTAAATAAACAAGTAATAAAACACGGGTATTGTTTTCACTATATAAAGATATTCATTTATGGGTTGAAACATAATTGTCTTTGCTTCAAGGATACACTTCCGGTTTTCCCACTGGACGTCTACTTCCGGACGAAAAAAATTAAAGGCAATGTGTAGAGAGGGGAAGCAACCCTGTTTACGCACGCATGTGTAACCATTAAAGAGCTTCGCTCGGGCGCCTTCGGCGCCCGAGAGCTACGCTCTAATTATTTCTACTGACAATCAATATGCGTTTAGTTTGGTGATCAACCGCCTATGTGGAACAGTGTCGAACGCTTTCATAAAGTCCATATATACTACCTCAATGCTACCTCCTTCATCAATGATTTTTGTCCAGTCGTCTACAGTTTTGAGTAGTTGAAGAACTGTTGATCNCACAATTTTTTCCAATAGTTTGCATATGATACTAGTTAGACTAACCGGTCTGTAATTTCCTGCATAACACTTGTCCCCTTTCTTGAAAATGGCAGTGATCCTCCCCTCTTTCCATACTGACGGTACATGGCCTGTACTTAATGATTGGTTGAATAATATCGTAAGTGGTTTAGTTATTACAGTTTCTAGTTCCTTCAGTATTTTTGGATGAATGCTATCTGGACCTTGAGATTTGTTGGTGTTTAGACCTTTTATGAGTTTAGAAAGTTCTTCCTCTATGAGCTCCTTGTTCAGAAATTGTTGATTTATATTTTTGATTTTGTAAATACGCACCTGAAGAAGTTGGCCAATACGTTAGCCTTTTCACCATCACTTTTGGCAGTGTGTACCACTTTGTCGTTTTCCTTTACGTGTAATTCGGATATTCCTGTCCTGGATTTGTTTTAGAATTAGCATATTTCCAAAATATCTTGGGGTTGGTTGTTACATCTTTAGCGATATTTTGTTCCAGTTGTTTTTCGCTTTTCTAACTAAGTTCTTTGCTTTGTTTCTTGCCTTGACATATTCTGCATGTTTGTTTTGATCCTTTGTTTCCATGAATCTCTCCCAGCATCGGTGTTTTTTCTTAACCGCTTCCACTGTCTTGACATCTAATGATTGTTTGTGTTTTTTCTTTCTTTGACTGATTTTTGGGATATGTCTGTCTACCGCCAATAATAATTTACTGATGAATGTATTATAGTTTTCGTCCATGTTTTCATTCTGTAGACAGGAATCCCAGTCAATGTTTAGCTCCTCCCTCATCTTTTGATAGTCCCCGCGGTTATAGTTTCATGGTTGCACTGTTCGGTTTGTTATATTTACATATAAATTAAAAGGCGATACATCCATGGTCACTTTTACCAAGAGGACTCTGGATATCTAGTTTACCAACCATATTTTCCTCGTTTGTAGATATTAGGTCCAGTAGGCTGGGTTCTTGGTTATTTCTTATCCTCGTGGAACTTTCACATGCTGAAATAGATACGTGTCCCTGATGGTTTCAATAAATTTTATTTCAGTCTTGTTTTTATACTCTGTTGTGTAGTTCTCCTAGTTGATATTTCTGTAATTGAAGTCCCCCATTATGAGTCTATGTGAATATTTGGCGTTACCTACTTCCAGTAGAAGATTATTTAACTCATCATTATTTTCCTCTGTGCTGTTTGGGCTCCTATAAATACATCCAATTAATAGTGTATTCCCTTCGGCCAAGTCAACGCTGACAAAAACATGTTCCCTGAAAGCAACTGACATACTCATTTCCGTTGCTTTTAGATCTGACTTGATGTACTGTGCTGTTCCTCGGATACCATTTCATCCACAAAGGTTATTAAGTAATAGTAATACCGGAAACTAGCCATTAAAATAAAAAAGGGCGATTACTCTAACAAAAACCATAGACATAAAGATCAGGTAGCATATAACCTTAAGAGAGACGCAAGACGATCGGAGTATGGTGCAATGTACAAGCTTGGATATTATTGAACTAAGCATTGTGATTAGACAACAAAAACACGGGCGTTTAACCTTATACGAGACAGTGAGGACCTTTCTGGCTCTGTATAAAATCTCTTCATTATATTACTCCCAAAAAGTGAAATTAGAAATAATCACCAGATACAAGATTGGTGTATTAGCGCTTCCCCTATTAATACATTTTAAATCGAAAATTAACATTACCCTGTTGTTTTAACCATTATAATATAAAGGTTCTGTAGGTTGAAGTTTACTTCCCACCAATCGTTATACATAACATCAACCATACATTTAATTTGTCGTTCTGAAATATCAGAGTAAGAATCGTGTTTCTTAACTCACATTATGTGTTAATAGATATAAGTATAACAAATATATGCATTATTAAAGTGTCTGGCGAATCTTAAATAATTTCTACATTAGTTGGTTATTTTGGGATGAATCCCTTATTTTTTAGATGTTTCGTTAGGAACTCCTCATAGGTGACGTATCCGTCTTTGTCAGCATCAGTTTCTTCAATGGCCTTTAGCATGTTGTCATCCACCTCAAAGTCCATTACTCGAAGTCTCGTCTTAATCTTTGATTTGGAAACCCTTCCTTCGTTAGCATCATCAAAGTTTCCAAAGATCACTCGAAGTTTGCTTGTCCTGGAAATAAACAAGTGTAAAACGTTTAATCCGGTCCTTCTATCACAAGCGTCTCCTAGGTTCAGAAGCATATCCAAGTTACACAAGCGTCCTCTAAGATGAACTATGGGTATTTATTAAATTATACTAAATTTCTTGATAATATTGTTTCCTGTGGAAAAGTAATATATTCCACAAAACACCGGTTTTCAAGCCTTCGGATTTAAACTTTCTTCACCAGGGAGTGAATGGTCCTCATTTTTAAGTCACATATCCGAACTAAAACCACAAACAGGAAGTTTTGAAAATTCTTAGAAGTCTCCAATCTATCACATAGAGGTTATCAAACGAGTGATGATTGTTAATCATGCTTATCTAACTCGAGTTTCAAAGTTTATATAATCATCGGGTTGGCTGAATGTCTTTAACAATGTGAAAATTAACTAACGCGAGATATATAACCATCAGAATCAACCATCACGAGTTTGGGGATCTTTTTCTCCCAAAACGTATCGATATTATACCTAGAAAATCGCATGTTTCTTTTGCAATTACAATATTTCGGTCGAGGGAAACAATCTCCACGAACTATGACGTCAACATGGAAGATGACGTCGCAAAGCAATGTGACTCGACGTTACAATTAGATGAAAGAAGACTTTTCCAATGAGGGGGGAATGAGGAAACCTATAGTGGACGCGGGAGAATGAGGGGGGAATGAGGAAACCTATAGGGGACGGGGGAGAATGAGGGGGGAATGAGGAAACCTATAGGGGACGGGGGAGAATGAGGGGGGAATGAGGAAACCTATAGGGGACGGGGGAGAATGAGGGGGGAATGAGGAAACCTATAGGGGACGGGGGAGAATGAGGGGGGAATGAGGAAACCTATAGTGGGCGCGGGAGAATGAGGGGGGAATGAGGAAACCTATAGTGGGCGCGGGAGAATGAGGGGGGAATGAGGAAACCTATAGTGGGCGCGGGAGAATGAGGGGGGAATGAGGAAACCTATAGTGGACGCGGGAGAAGTAGGACAACGACAGATACCAACTAAACACGGAACACAGAATGAAAATCACAATTCACTACTATGGAATTGAGGTGTTTTTTTATTAATTAAAATGTTCAAGATACCAGATACAAGATACAAGAAACTTTATTTAAAGTCGCATACATATACACAAAGAACATTAGCTCTTGAGAGCTATTATTCCGACAAACATATGTAAGATAACAATAACACTTTATTTTACAAATAAAGGGAGGTAAGCACGTATATAAATAAAAATGCAATAATAATTATCACAGAAAAAGAAAGTATGATATCACAGGTTTCTAAATGAGGCCTGATTATAGCTTTGGATGCGTATTGGAGGCGTTTCACTCCTGATTGAAGTTATCCATGGTAATGTATGGTCATTATCAATTCAGGATGCGAATTTTTATTTTTTATTTTTCTATATAGATACATGTATGTACTTGAAATCACAGAGGTGATATCCAGCGAGCATGCCGTCATTTATAATATATCGTCCGGGTGACAACATCAAGTCAGTATGACGTCAGCTCTCGTGAAGAAGACATGATGATATATGATTCCATATATCCGTCCAAAAACGACTTGAACAAAGAAACTATTTATTTTTACCATCACATTACACGATTATTATTTACAGAAAACCACTGACATCCGCCTTTTCTCTAGAAAACAGGGCGAAACAACAAGGAATATTATCATAGCTACCCGTCTACATGTCCTGGCAACTGGCCAAGTAACATGGACCCGGATCTTACATTAAATGATACATTGTATCTGAAACATGCAGTATTAAATGTAACAATGAACTGTGACAGGGTAAAAATCTATAAAAGTGTATTGCCTCACTTAAATCACGCAACCGAGTCTTATAATGAATTATTTTGTATATATTTAAGGATTAACTTGAATATATTTTTCAGGTTATGGAGATATAACACAAAAAAACGGAGTGTACTCTAAATAAACAGCGAAGCGGTTTATGATGAGAGTACACTCTGTTTTTTGTGTTATAGCTCCATCACATGAAAAATATTTTCAAGTTAATCCTTATAATTCAATCTACTATACACAATCCCTGTGGAAATCCACTTGTATTGTATTCTCTTAGAAATTATTGCGCTGCTGAATCAGCCAATCAAAAGCGACGTTACAAATGGCGACGTCATTTTTTATGCTATGGACTGATAACATAATTTTTTAAGCCAATGAAAATGCTTGTTACAAGCAAGATTAAATTATACATACTTAACCATGACGTCCTCATGCGATTTCAAAGCTTCAACATATTCATCCAGCGTGATCGTGTCTTCCCTTTCTTTATGCATTCCTTTCAAAAGCATCTTAAATAGACATTAAAAGGCAAATTTTAAACTTTCTTTTAAAACCTCATGTCGATGAACATCGCCTGAATATAAAGAAATCTGGCTATAAATGCCACCTGTCTTTAAAGAACACATAAAGAAAACCCCTAATGATGTTTTTAATATGAAAACAATTAAGTAAGTAAGACGTTTTGCGTTCGCCTTTGAGCGATAAATACAATTACATATTCATATATAAAATTGTCGTCGTATGTTCAAGTATACAAATCATTAACATCACTTTCTCGCACCTCGGACAAGGTAATTCCACATGATACTCAGTTCTAGATTTCTATGTCTCGTCCGATTTGTCCGACACCTTCACGCGACATTTCGTGGAATTTTTACACAGCGATGCATTCATTCGTAAGTGATATATTTGTACATTATATTTGTATTCGGTTTTGTTTTTATATTATTGTTGTGATGGTTTTATATACTTAATGTTGTAAATGAAATATAATGTACACTGTGAAATGTGTTCTTCCTTGTAAGGGTTGACTACATTGTTTAAACATAGCTTTAGGAGCGAAGAAGACGTATCAGTTTTAAGCCCCGGAAGGGATACTTGTAGACTATAGCAAAATTGAGTAGTTTTTCGAACACAAAGTCGAGAGATAAACATAAATTACGTGCAACTGAGCCAGATCGGGTTATTTCAGTACCGTGCAAAGATTATTTCACACCCCAATTTCGCCTCGGTAGGACATATGTTACAGGATCTTAGCCCTCGACTGATATAACCCGATCTGGCTCAGTTACAGGTTATTGATTTTATCAAACATCTTTCAACTAAGTTACTCGATCTAGAGCAGACATGTTTAAACGGAGAAAACGATTTTTTTTCTAACGTACTATATAGTTATGTATATCAGTATAAAGTGGTGCTTAACAGTGTTAATTAGTCGGCACTGAACGGTGCTCAATATTTTTCTTTGGTATACTTTATATATACACTTTGTTTACAACACTGCTACACGTTACTCTATTTTTATCTACAATTACGATATTATGATAACACGAGGAGTGTACTTATTCTTATCTAAACAGATAAAGTGTGGTGCAGGTATCAACACTAGATATGCTAATCCCCTACCAGTAAAGTATGACCGAGAAATCGCAACCCGAAGGGTATAATTCCTTGTTTTCTACCCCGGTAATTGTTTCAACCGAGGGTTAGACATTTGGGAATGTCACATCCCGAGGGTTGAGGTATATCTGGGACACCATTATCATATGGGATAATTCTTTCTCGTCCATTCTATCAATAATATGCTATAAGCCATTTCACATCAGAATTTGTAATCCGTATTAGTTTAAGACACTGTTTGATAATAAACGTTGTATTACATTATATTTAAGTTCAATAGATGTTATCTGTGTACGGCACAGTCACTGACCGGTGATAAACGGTTTTTTATGCATTTAATTAAACGTCAATATATGTTATCTGTGTAGAATGCAGGTATTGAATACAGGTTAAATTACTCCATTTCAACATATGATATCTCTGTATAAGGCAGACATTGAACGGAGGTACTTCAGTTCAACATAAGTTATCTCTGTATTAGACAGGCATTTAATAGGAGGTACTTCAATTTAACATATGCTATCTCTCTATAAGGCAGACATTGAACGGAGGTACTTCAATTTAACATATGATATCTCTGTATAAGGCAGGGATTGAACGGAGGTACTTCAGTTCAACATATGTAATCTCTGTATAAGGCAGACATTGAACGGAGGTACTTCAATTTAACATATGCCATCTCTCTATAAGGCAGGGTTTGAACGATGGTATTTCAGTTCAACATATGCTATCGCTGTATAAGGCAGGGATTGAACGGAGGTACTTCAATTCAACATATAATATCGCTGTATAAGGCAGACATTGAACGAAGGTAAAACTTGTATCCGCTATCTGTGTATTAGCTATAGAGAGGCATTGAATAGGGGTACTTCAGATCAACATATGCTATCTCTTTATTAAGTAGTTAATGACATTTCTGGCAATCTACCTCAGTCAGTGCCTCGTCCCCTCCGAAACCAAGAGCCATGAGGAGTTTCGTTAACTGTCCTGTTGACAATACTCCGCCGTGGTCTTTGGCCATAACACTGAACTCTGTTTGCAGGTAACGGTCATCGCCCTCCCATCCACTGCAGTGTAAGAAATTAGATATAGTATTATACGGATCATATCATTAGAATCATGGACTCGTCTTCCGAGAAGCCACTCTTTAAATAATTCATCTTTTACAACAGCACATCCTAACCACAATAACGTCAAATCGCCCCCCCCCCCCCCTCCGAGAAAATTGTTTACATGTTAACCGTGTGTCCGAGGTATGGTTTGAAGAAAATATAATTTATGTCTATTACCGGTGGTGGAGGATAAACAACATATTTAGCATTTTTACTTATTGATAGTATACTGTTCCCACTGCTGGGCTACATGACACATTTATCACAGAAAATGGTACAGCACCAAGTAAACCTGTTGTTGTTTACTTCGGGATGTGTGTGTAGGTACACATAACCAGATGTGACCTATAATTAAGTTACAACACTCAACTAACTCAACTTTACATATATTTACATAATAACTGGTAGATCTTACCTGGACTTTTTGGACATCAGATCGCCCATATCTATAATCTATCTATTTACTCCGAGTATTCCTCTTCTGCTGTAATACGCTGAAGTCTGGCTCACATCCAAAATTCTCCGTTCACCCTCCGAGCGTACAGATAAAAATAGCATTTCCCCTCTATTATGAATATTTATCCATGCGATAGGTTTTTATGTATTCAATATATACATTGTTATGGTAGACTGTAGATACGTATCTATGACAGATGTCTGGTCGGTCGAGGTCCTCTCAAAGTAGGTCATTTATTGATAGACCTGATAATGATTTAAAAAAAATAAACAACAGGTGCGATGGGCCGGTATCGCGCACTTGTGATTTACTGTATGACCGGCCGACGCATTTCACATATATGATATTTAAAGCAGGGTCAAGGTCAAATCAATTTAAACAATGTTGATGGTAAGAAAGCTAACGCTATAGTACAGGTTGAATAAAATGAAATCAATGAATCTATAGCTTATCTATTTCTACATGTATGTAGGGAGAGTGACCTCATACAACCTTTATCGTTTGTCGATATGATTTATTATATCAAACTTGTTTGCGTGTTACACCGGTAAGCTACAGAATGAATGTTAGAACTCTAAGCCTAAGTAACACCTCTGTGGTCAACAACTCATATATTGTTACATTTGATCACCCTTGATCCCGACATGCTACAGGCCATCTTGTTTTCTGAGACCTTTTGTGATTCAGAAGAAGTTATTTTGATATTTTGACACATACAACCGCTGTGACTATTAAAATTTGTAAATGTAATTCAGTTTAACAAACTGTATGGCCCCTCATCCCAGCATACAGCAGACTAAATACCAAGACCATATGTCTCTTAGTTATACAGAAGGACTAACCATGACCTATGACCCTAAAAGTGGGTCAATGTTATGCAATCGACAAACTCTATAACCCATCGCCAAGGATGGTAAAAGTAACATATCTAGACTTCTTATGATCTTCAGAAGATTATGTTCAATAATGAGTAACCTTTTGGCATTCAAAGTGATCCTAGGTAATTCACTTAAACACAAATGGTAGTTCTTTACCAAACATACAACAGGCCGAGTAGTATGACCCTTTGACTCCCGATTACTAAGAAGAAGTTATTTAATGGTGTTCACACATTTGACCCCATGTGACTTTGAATAACTTGAGAGCATTCATCCCAGCATGCGCATGGCTAATATGATTAACTTCGGCTTCCTTAATTATGCAAGATGTGTTTTCGTTGATGCCTAAAGTTGATTTACCCAAAAGAACCACATGATATATATCATATATATACTCTTTTAAAGATATGCTAACTTTCGCGTTCCGACATCTCAAACATAAATCGTGGGATCTTCTTTGAACAATAACAAACAACCAACTCATGTTTACAATTTACATAAAATAACAATAAGATGATTTAGGTTGATATATGAAGGATGATTCCTACGCATATATCCCATATAATAAGGAAAATAGAGTAATGAACCGAACTTCACAAAAAAGTCTTATATTCGTGATATTTCATTGAATATGAAACTGAAAAGAACACAGTGATAAGTGGCGATAAAGTTATTCATCAAATGTTTAAAAATACAGAGACAAAGGACAACCCAAAGTTAACAAAATTCTTAAATTGGTGATACACTTATGTCATTTTAAAGTAATATAAGCTTTTCGTCCTGATGTTATAGGTAACGATGAAACAAGTCATAAAATATTTAAAATATAGAGACGACAAAGGACCACCCCAAGTAACAAACATTCTTACGTTGGTGATACACTGTAAATCGTTTCGGAGTAATGTAAGCTTTTCGTCATGATGTATATATATAGAGAGAAGTTAGTGAACCATTAGATACGGGTATTTACCTTAACCAGAGGAAGTACACACTAGACGTGCCCGATTTAACAGGGTAATAGATACAACCAGTATAATTATCGGCATACAGTCTCCTCTACGACTAGAGTTTTGGGAAATTAATTCCAAAATATATTCACAATTACTTGAAAACACATTATTTTATAAATTACCAATCTAGTTAAAATTATATCTTCACATCGCTCCCGCGAAATATCAGTAAACGGGAGCGATTTGCAGATATGATTTTTATTAGATTGATAAATTACTGGCTTGCCTTTTATTTAGGTGATCAACAACACATCAGTACATGTATATAGCCAATATGACGAAAAACGTAACCCAAGTAATATAACAAGACTTCAAATTAATTCAAAGAATTATGTTTTGAGCCTTCAAAAGTAAATGACTGAACCTTGTTCCCATGGAACATAAAAGTGTGGGAAATTGTATATAATTGTTAAAATATGAACTTGAGAATACGGTACTACACTTAGAATTTCCTTTGGCTGGTTTTGAAGACATTCGAAACGTATGGTATATATATATATATATATATATATTCCTTACGAAAAACATAATTGAAATACCCAGTCCTGGCTGGGATCTAGGTCAGTGTGATTCCAAAATACTGAGTAGGTTTGGTTCCTCGTAGAATTTACTTAGCTGGAAGTGAAGGTGTGAGGATCTAATGAATTGACGTCATTAATTAATATCTGAATTAGAGCTGAAGTCAACACCGACACGTTATTATAGACATATCTTATACTAGGTGGTGGGGTATCATGGAATATCCTAATCCTACCCAATGTGATTCGTGAGAGGTTCGATAAAATAGCTTTTGGGTAAATACATAACACGATCATAGCCTGTAAAAGGACGCAACACACGAACCAAACCCAATACATTGCAGGTAGATTATCAGAGATCAGAGTGTGAAGGGTGTCACTACTAGATCTCATACATTGCCTGCCACCTAGACCATTGTATCTATTGTTACCAATATCATACAATCAATATTATGGACAAACTTTAACGAACTATTTAAAAGTTTCAAAAAGAACTGTGTGACGTCTCTAAAATCTTCACAAACAATACAAGTCTTGTAGGCACCTTACCCCGTATTTCTACATGTTTTGGAACACGTTCAGTAAGTCTTGTAGGCACCTTACTTGGTATTTCTTCATGTTTCGGAACACCTTCGATATGGCTTGTAGGCACCTTACCCCGTATTTCTTCATGTTTCGGAACACGTTCGATATGGCTTGAAGGCACCTTACCCCGTATTTCTACATGTTTTGGAACACGTTCGATATGGCTTGTAGGCACCTACCCCGTATTTCTTCGTGTTTCGGAGTCCAGTCTGTGACGTAGTGTGTGTGCCTCCGCAGCCGACTGGTGCTGACCTTGGGGTCAAATTTAGCAGGATTTTACTAACTTATCAACATTTTTAATGCTGCAGGATTTTGCTAAGGGGATAGATAATAAGGTAGTTAAGTTTGGGAGTAAGAGAGTAGAGTGGGGGAGTTGGAATAGAGGAGTAGAGGTAGGGAATTGGAATAGAGGAGTAGAGTTGGAGAGTTGGTATAAAGGAGTAGAGTTAAAGAGTTGGAGAGAGAAGGTTGAGTTAGGGTGACCGAGTTGAGAGGTCTAGAGACATAGAGGAGAATTAAAAAGTTGGAGAATGAGGAAGTTAGTAAGAATAGTAGTTTTAGCTGTAGCCTTAGGTCTGTGTAGTTTTACAGTTGATAGTAGGGGATTAGCTTGGAGTGGAGAGATTGCGTTCACAATGGTGAACACTAGTATATTCTATGACGGATTAAAATACTTGTGTTGCAAATAAAGTGTAAATATCAATGTACATTGTGTTGTTCAAGTAATTTGAACTGGTGGCAGCGGCGGAATTATTACAGAAAGTAACAAGGTGGGATAATAAAAACGTAACACTGGTGGCAAGGGTGGGATATTACAAAACGTAACACTGGTGGCAGCGGTGGGATATTACAAAATGTGACACTGGCGGCAGCGGTAGGATATTACAAAATGTGACACTGGCGGCAGCGGTAGGATATTACAAAACGTGACACTGGCGGCAGCGGTGGGATAATACAAAACGTAACACTGGTGGCAGCGGTGGGATATTACAAAATGTGACACTAGCGGCAGCGGTGGGATATTACAAAACGTGACACTGGCGGCAGCGGTGGGATAATACAAAACGTTACACTGGCGGCAGCGGTGGGATAATACAAAACGTTACACTGGTGGCAGCGGTGGGATATTAGAAAACGTAACACTGGTGGCAACGGTGGGATATTACAAAACGTAACACTGGTGGCAGTGGTGGGACAATACAAAACGTAACAGTACCACTGATTAGCGAAGAGGATGTCATTGATAATAAATCAGCCAATTTGACCCTACTCTAATCCCAAAGTCGGGTCAGCCCCGTATTTGAATAACACTTGATCCAAATAGGCTGGGGAAGCTACAGCCACAATCTGGAGGAAACTTGCCCACACTTAATCAGCAGTCTTGACATCTTTATTTCCCACCTCTGAGCCCCCTTATTTGTGTAATCTTTGATCTCCTTGGGCTTAGGATGTTACCACCAAAACATGGCTGAAACTTTCCCAGCAGTTTGAGAGATTTCGTTTTAAGCACATCAGTCTGACCCTACCCTCAGTCCCCAGGAAGGTCAGTACCTTTATTAATATACCTTTGGATCCTCATGGCCTTAAGATGATACCAAGATTGATTGAATTCTGCTCTGTAACTTGGGAGGAAATGTTAATTCACGAAAAAAGAAATATGGAAAAGAGACAATGGAAGATTAACCATCACCACATAAGATCACAATAGTAACAGGTGAACTAAAATTAAAGATGAATGTCACTTCATTTGTTCAACTCCTATAAAAATTAGAGTTTAAAACAATTTGGAAAAAGAAAGAAATTATTGATATTCTAAGTACTATCTATTATGTTTCTTCTTTTTGTTTGCATGTTTTACGTTCTGTTTTCTTCTCTATATATGACAGGCCTTGCATGTTTGGTTAATACGTCACAGGGGATCGTTACAGATGATGTGATATACATGAGATGGAACACATGTATAAGTGACCCATCTCATTTATTATATCATTTGTCACGAACCCCTGTGATGATGCTGTTTAGACTGTTAGGCAATTGTTGGCTTCTAATAACATAACGATTCTGAGTGCTAACTGTCATGGTTTATCTGATAGATTTAAACGAAAAGATGTTTTCTCTTATCTTAAGAATCAATCGTATAATATTTTTTGTCTTCAGGACACGCATTTTACTCAGGATAAAGAAAGTCTTTTAAGAAGTGAGTGGGGTTATGAATGTTTTTTTAACTCTTATAAATCTAACGCC